CCCTCCCAGCCTCTGATTCCAGGCTGTAAAGTGAGGGTGGGGACAGTATCAAGCTCGTGGCTTGTTGCACGGTTTTAACGAGATGACACACGCGAGAGGCTTGGCGTGGTCCTGGCACGCAGTGGGGCTCCGTTAGAGGTGACTGTGTACTGGTCCAGGCCCGTCCACCGCAGGGCTGGGCTGGAGCCCACTGGAGGCGGAGGGAGAAGTGTGTGCGTGTGTGTGTGTGTGTGTGTGTGTGTGTGTTAGGATGGAGCAGCGCGAGACAGACAGACCACATGCCACCCAGGAGGGTTCACACTAGAGCATCAGGCATCCCTTGGTGGGCCCTGTGCCCGCCTCTCCTTCCTCCGGGGGCCTGTGGTCTTGGGGACAGACACCACATCGTATGCGTGCAGTGACTGGGAGAGGAGGCAGGGAGGCGGCCCTCGTCTCCTCCTCTGATCCCCAGTGACCTCTCCAGCTCTGCTTTGTGTCTTTGGGGAGAGTCAGTCTGCCAGCGCTGCCATGACAAAGTGCCCCAGGCTGGTGGCCTAAACAGGAGGTTTATTCTCTCCCTCTTCTGGAGGCTGGTGTCTGAGATCCTGGGGTTGGCAGGGTGGGCTTCTCCTGAGGCCTCTCTCCCCTGCTTGTCGATGGTGACTTCTCCCTTCATGTGGTCTTCCCTCTGTGACTGGATCCAAAGCTCCTTTTTTTTTTTTTTGAGGAAGATTAGCCCTGAATTAACATCTGCTGCCAATCCTCCTCTTTTTGCTGGGGAAGACTAGCCCTAAGCTAACATCTGTGCCTGTCTTCCTCTACTTTATGCGTGGGACGCCTGCCACAGCATGGTGTGCCAAGTGGTGCCATGTCCACTCCCGGGATCGGAACCGGCGAACCCCGGGCCGCCAAAGTGGAATGTACACAATTAACCGCTACGCCACCAGGCTGGCCCCAAATCTCCTCTTCTTATAGGGACACCAGTCATAAGATTGGGGCCTGCCCTAAAGACCCCCTTTTAACTTAATTACCCCTTTAAAGGCCCTGTCTCCAAATACGGTCACATTCTGAGGTCCTGGGTGTTACAGTGTCAACGTGTGAATTTGGGAGGACAAAGTTCAGCCCATAACAGGGAGAGAGTCCTAAGGCGACTCCACGGAGGTGTGTGCGTGAGGGAAGTGAGGGGCTGGGGTGCCTCTCAGTCGGGGACGGGCCCAGGGCTGACGTCTGGAGTTAGCAGGTTTCCCTCCCAGGTGGCTTGTTGGGAGCAGGTGTCAGGCCCGGAAGGGTAACCCAGGCCTCGCTCCCCGCCCTCAGGGGCTGCAGGTGGCACAGAAGGAGGCTCAGATCCGGCTGCTGGAAGGACGGCTGAGGCAGACCGACATCGCAGGTTCCTCCCAGAACCACCTGCTCCTGGACGCCCTGCGCGAGAAGGCCGAGACGAATCCTGAGCTGCAGGCGCTCATCTACAACGTGCAGCAGGGTACGTGGGTGCGGGCGGAGGCCTGGCAGCTCCTGGGAACCCTGGGGCTCCCTGGCTCCCACCCCCAGGGAGACCATCGCTTCCCCAGAACCACCCCAGGAGCCCAGTCTGATCGCGGCTGCTGAGACACAGGAGGGAGGCCAGCCCCCTCATCCTCCTGCCCTCCCTCCCTCCCTCCCACAGAGAACGGCTACGCCAGCACTGATGAGGAGATCTCAGAGTTCTCGGAGGGGAGGTGAGTTTCCAAGTCAGGAGTTTGAGCGTGTACCTGGGCTGGGGTGCGGGGTGGCCACAGGGCCCCAGGGCTGAGCCTGGATTTGTAGGCTGTTTGGGACCCATGGATCTAAGTCCCGGAGAGCCAGGGCGTGGGCTGTCAGGATCCTGAATGCCCTCTGCTTCTTCCTTAGCTTCTCCCAATCGTTCACCATGAAAGGCTCCACCAGCCACGATGATTTCAAGTTCAAGGTGAGCCCCCATCGGAAGGCAGACAGTAGGCCAGGGCAGGACCAGCCTCCCCAGGCCTGGTCCCCACCTTCCTGCGGCTCTACCCTCATCCCCCAGCCCCGACCTGATATTGCCTCTGGCTGGGATGGAGGTCCAGAAAGGATCTAGCCTGGAATTGGGAGGTGCCTGGACGTGTAAACTGTTACAGCCCATTCTTTTTTGAGGCGGGTGGAAGGTGGGAGAAATGGCTGGAGCCACTGCCTAGTGATGTCACCGTAGCCAGAGGCCCCCCCTTTCAAAAGTCGCGCCTCCCCCACCAAGGCTCTGCCTCGTGCTTAGAGTCAAAGGCAAAGTCCAGATGTCCAGTCATTCTGCGGGCAGATGACAGATCCAAGAGGCTCAGTTGTGGGAGTCCACAACGAGGGAGCTGACCTGCCAGCCAGGGATCCGTTATTAGGCTGAACTAAGAAATAGGGTTTATTAAAGAGAGAAGGGAAGAAGCTGCAGGCTGGCAGTGAACTGTGCATAGTCTTTGGGTAAACCGATTAATTAGCTGGGGGCCAGCAAAGAGGTCAGTCCGTCTGGGCCTTCAGTTTCAGTAGGGCAGAGAAACCATTTCCGTGGCTTCAGATTCTCCCGAAGCCTTGAGAGACAGTCTCTGGGTGATTTCTGGTTCCTCCACCGGAGGCCAAGGCAGCACCCTTTCCCTGGTTAGGATCCCCCCCCGCCCCGGCTCCCCGTTTCTGTGCCATCCTGTGTGGGCAAGCGGTCCACCCCAGTCCTTCCTTCCCCAGGGCGAGCCCAAGCTGTCTGCCCAGATGAAGGCCGTGTCGGCCGAGTGCCTGGGGCCCCCGCTGGACGTCTCCACCAAGAACATCACCAAGTCGCTGGCCTCCCTCGTGGAGATCAAGGAAGACGGAGCGGGCCTCTCCCTCCGAGACCAGTACTACCGGGACAAGGTCTCGCGCACCATCAGCCTGCCCACCAGAGGCAGTACCTTGTAAGGAGGGGAGCCAGGCGTGCGGGTCAGGGCGGGCAGGGAGCTGGGGCTGGGCCTCACCGGACCCTTCTCTCTCAGCCCCCGGCAGTCTCGAGGCACGGAGACGTCCCCTCTGACCCGAAGGAAGTCGTATGACCGAGGACAGCCCATTAGGTGAGAGTATATTCTGGAACCTTCCCCAGAATCGCTCATTCTAGTCCTGGGCAGCCTGAATCTAGTCCTGGTCCATCTGTAGATCGTTGTGGGCACTGTTTAATGTGGGCCAGTCTGGCTATGTCATTCAGCTTCCCCCATGGTCCCCTCCCCACCCGGCAGGTGTGTGGGCTCGGGGACATATGATCTCCATAGCGCCTTGAGCTGGGTGGCCACGCTCACTGCTAAAAACCTCTGGCTGATGCGTGCTCCATGTTGGTGGCCTCGTAGCCGCTTGGAGTGGTCATTGTGCTGACGTTTTTCACCCCTCTTCATGACCATGGGTCCTTGGAAGTCTTTAGCCCGTTTAAGGTCTTGTCATGTGAGAGGAGTGTAGACGTTTAAAGAAAACCCAGAGAGCTGACTACAGAGGGCGGGCAACTCCAGCTGGCCAGCCGCTCCCAGGGCCAGGCCCCACTGAGCCGTGGCCCATCGCTGGATGCCTCCTTGGTCATCTGGTCCGTGCACTCAATTTTCAGAGAGGTTTGGTGGCCTCCCCCAGGTCACACAGCTAAATAGTGGAGGAGCAGGGGCTCACGGGGACCTCTTGCCACCTGCCTAGGAGGGAGGCAGGAGGGCTCGCTCAGGCTCCCAGCCGTCCCGCCCTCTGAGGTCTGGGCAGATGCCACAGCTCGCAGAGAGGCCTTCAGGGAGCGGGGTGGGGAGCTGCAAGCATATGTGTGCCCTTGGGGTCTCACAGATGTCCCTTCACCCCCAAGCTGAGAGACCACGCTGAAGATGCATTAATGACTTTCCAAAGTCATCATGATGACTAATGACAGCTTCCCAAAGAGGGGGACCTCACGGTGTCAGAATGGGGCGGCACAGCGGGCTGCAAGGTTCTTGCCTGCAGAGGCTGTCCATCCTTCCTACTCACAGTAGTTGTCTCCTGTCGTCACCATGAACGCGGAGTTAGCGGTCACTGACCCGCTGCTCCCAGAGGAATGCAGCATTAGGTTCCCACAAGCCTCTGGGCACAACATGGTCACCAACCCATCACGATAGAACCTTGTTTCACGTGTGTTTCTGCTTAAAGACACCCTACTTAATGTATGTCGGTGACTCATTCACGTTGAACTCACGGCCAGCGGCCCTATAACACGCCCGAATGAGCTCATCTCGCACCCGTACTTTCCCCGTAAGGCACGTCCCAGCCTCCCTGCGCTCAGGACACCACGCGGCCCCTCCGCTCTACCCAAGGGGCCATTTTAAACGGTGAAGTCAGCAATCAAAAGCACAAAAAATAGGAAAAACATGACACCCAATGGACCACGGAAGGCCACCCGTTCACCGAATAAGAGCTGAGGCAAGAAGGCCGGCGTCGCCTCGTTCCACCTCAGCTGGGGATGTGTGCATTTGGGGGCTCAGATTTTTTGCTGCTCTGCTCGTGTCTGCAAATGACCACAGAAGCACTGCGAGTATGATTTTGGGGTTTCCAAATCCATTTTCAAGAGTGGGTGAATCCCCAAATATGGAATCCTCTGACGATGAGAAGGATGGACTGGTTCAGGGCAGCGTCTGGGAGCTAATTAGGGGCTGGGCTCTGGGACCCCTGCCCTGCAGGCCTGACAGCCAAGCCAGAAGGTGGTGCTGGAAGCATAGCGTGTGAGCCTGTGGGCACGAGTGTGGGCACTAACGACGCCGCCCTCTGTCCCCTGCACGCCAGGTCCACGGACGTGGGATTCACGCCCCCCTCGTCCCCTCCCACGCGGCCCCGCAGTGACCGTAACGTCTTCTCCCGTCTCACCAGCAATCAGAGCCAGGGCTCAGCGCTGGACAAGTAAGAGCCAGGCCGGTCGGGCGGGCACAGCGAGGGGACATGGCCCATGGGTGGTGCTGTCCGCGGGCAGGGCTGGCGCAGTGGGCAGACCAAGCCATGCTGTTCCGGCCCCTCGGAGAGAGGAGGCCCTGATGCCCCTCGCCTGGCGTCTCTGCCCTTTCTGTCCTGACCGTGGGCCCTTCCTGTCGCCTGCACGTGCTGGAGAGGGCAGGAAGGAAGCCACAGGATGGGGGCCTGGGGCAGTCAGGCTCCCAGGGGTCCCCCAGAACTGCCCCCTGAATCCTCCCCTGCTGATCTTGGATTCTTTGATTCTTCTCTGAAGCCCCTTCCTTAAGGTGCAGCCACACCCCCTCCCAACCACGGATGCTCAGACAGGCCCCCGGGGCCCTTGCGCACCGTCCCAGCAGAAAGAGACCCCCGGTTTCCTTCACCTGCAGGGTCAGCTCGCCCTGTATTCACAGGTCCTCTTGGACGGCTGTAACTACCACTAGTATGATGGGTGTAGACAGCAGTCCTGTGCATTCACAAGGCACCCTCATGCTGCACCTGCTTCCACATCTGTGATTCGTTTGAACATAAATCAGCCTTAAGAATTGTCTCCCCATTTCACAGAAGAGGAAATGAGCCTCAAAGAGGGGCCCGGGGGTGTTCACCTAGAAAGTGGGGGAGCTGGGCCAGCACCTGGGGCTCTGACGTGTGCTGGCACATGTTCCCAGCAGTGGGACACTGCCTTGAGAAAGGGGTGTCGTCCTCCATGTTTTCCTCCCCTAAAGACCCTGAGGGGGGACAGTGCTACCCTGCAGGGCAGCCCAGGCTAGAAATGGGTAGTCTTTGCACCTGCTGCCTGGCATCAGCCCCTTCCCACAAAAACGCCTCTTCCTGGGCTCCCCAAACCTGCTCGGCTCAGCTCCCACTGCGGGGTGGATGTACAAGCCCGGCCGGCCCGTGCCAACCAGGGCGCCCCCTCCACACCTTTACGATCGGCAGGTCCTTGTTTCAGAAGGATTGGGGTGGGACTCTGGGCATCCCAGCCTGTTGGTCTCCCAGGCCTTGTCCTGTCCAGTGGTCCGGGTCTTGGACCCCATGCATGGTGCAGAGCTGGCTTCTGGGGACGGTGGGCTTCGTAAATAAGTCAGTCCCTGAGGAATTGCTGAAAGAAGCCGGCTCCCAGGGAAGGGCAGGAGCGGCCTGGCTTCCTCTGGCCCCGGGCAGGGACGAGCATTGCTGGGGCAGGCAGGTGCCCCCAGCTTGTGCGATGGGGTAGCCGGAGAGCTTGGAACCAGCAAACGACCCACGAACCATCCCCTAGAGTGTGGGCTGGCCCTCCCACATCTCTAGCCCCGTCCTTGCTCCTACCCTGTTAGCCGAGGGACCCTGGTGGCCCGCCCCTGGGGGTGTCCCCAGCTCCTAGGCCAGCCTGTCCCCCTCCTCTCCTGCTCTCCCCCGGCGCCCTCATCGCTCTGCCTCTGTCCACTGCCTCGAAGAGAATAACCCATCTTCTGACCTGCTGCTGCTGTCACCTCTGCGTCCCTGTGTGTTTTCCTCTCTCCCCCTAATCCAGCTAATTTTCTGCCCTCCCAGGTCTGATGACAGCGATTCCTCTTTGTCGGAGGTCCTGAGGTACACACACCACGTCTCGTGTCTGCTTCCCAGCTCTCACTCTGTCCTCTCTCTCCTCTGCCTCTGCCGCACACCCCTCCGCCTGCACGCCCCTGTCCTCCGCATGCAGCCCCCTCCCGTCGCCTGCCCCTCCTACGCCATGGCTCTTCTGAGACGACCCCGCCCCCACCCCCGTCCCCTGGTTCCTCCTTCTCAGGGTGGCTGCGTGGCCTCTGACTGCGCCGGGCCGGCTGGAGCTGGGGGCTTGGGGATGGGTGCACGGTTGCTGGGGGCAGGCCCTGTTCTCTTCTCCTGGTCACCTGGCTGGGGGCGTGGAGCATGGGAGCCTGGGGTTGGCTGGGATGAAGCTCTGCCGATGGGGGTGGAGAGCCCGTGGAAGGCCTGGGGCCACGGGGACCAGCTGGGCACCTGCTCCTTGGAGGGGTGTCGTTGCCTGTGCTCAGCGTCCTGCTGACTTGCTCAGCTTGGGCCGGTGGGTGCGCGCTTCAGACCTTGGCTCCGAGAGGGGACGTGGCCCCTGCCCGCCTCTCCTGGCATGTGGACCGGGAGCACCAGGAGACCTCCTGTCCCCCCAGCTTGTGAGATGACCAGAGGCCAGTGTCCCCACCCAACCCAGCACAGCATAGCTCCCTGCAGTGAGGAGTGCATCCCAGGGTCTGGTGGGCCAGAGCTCCCGACAGCTCCCGCCCTGGTTGTGATGTTTCTGTGACCCCTCCCACGGGTAGCAAGGCTTTGCCGCCAGCCCACCAGCCTCTCTCATGGCAGAGGGTTATCTTCTTAAAATCCTTCCTACGGCAGTCTTGGGCTTCTCCCCCAGCCATATGGCTGGGCCCAAATTAGTGTCAGAGCCAGGGGCTGGGGCAGCATGGGGGCCGTTCACGTGTGTGTGACACCTGGCTAGCAGCTGCACCTGTCTGATCGCCATTCTCGAGGGGGGCCTGGCTGAGTCCTGGGGCCATGGGATGCACAGATGGGATGTGCTGTGGATGGGGCGCTGGTCATTTCCGTGTATCCTCAGCCACGGGGTCGCTGTCAGGAGCAGCATTCTTGTTGGAAAAGAACTAGAACGTCTTTTCAGACCTGCACATATCTTGGCCAGGGATCTCGTTCCAAAAAACCCTCACTGCGCAAAAGATCTTCATCCTCAGACCTGCAGGAGGCTGGTGTAGCCAAATCCTCATGCTCGCTCTGGTTAAGCCTCCCTGCCCCTCCCAGAGTGTTTGCGGGGAGCGTGTTCCTCCGGGTCCACGTAGCCTCGTTCCCAGAGGCGCCCCAGACATCCCTGACCCAGAGCTGAGCTGGGGGTCCCGAAAGGGATGGATGTAACTCTTTGGAAGTGACAGTCACAGGTCTGGCCATGCTGGTCCAAGAGGCCTGTGGGTAGGGGTGTGTGCGTGTGTGCACGTGCGTGCATGAGTCTCTGCTTGGGAGGTGCCAACCCCAGAGGCAGCCGCTGACAGATGGATAGAGTGGGATTGTGGGGTGACGGCCTGTGCATCCTCCCTGTCTGCACCCCTCACCTCACCCTGGGTTAACTGAAGCCCTGGGGCCCCTCCCTTCCCAGCTGGGGCCTGGGTGCATTTGTGTCTCAGGATCTGGGTCAGGCAGGCATCGGATGGGGACTTCCCGCGGGCAGGGCCCGTGTCCCCCGCTCCTTCCGGCTGCGTCTAGCCTGGAGGTGCGCAGGATGGCGACTGACAGGTTGCTGTACAGGCAGACGTCCCCACCTGCGCAGCCTGTTCCCGGCTCTCAGACCTTGGTGGCATTTGACTGGAGGCTCCATCATCGGGCCCTGGTCCCCTCTCTGCCCTGTGCCCTCTGACCGTGTGCCTCGCTCAGCCTGGCGCGGTCTCCCTGGCTGACGGGCGCGTCCTCTCTCCCTCTCTCCCTGGAAGGGGCATCATCACCCCGGTTGGAGGAGCCAAGGGTGCGCGGACGGCCCCACTGCAGTGCGTCTCCATGGCCGAGGGCCACACCAAGCCCATCCTCTGCCTGGATGCCACGGACGAGCTGCTCTTCACGGGCTCCAAAGGTGAGTGGAACCCAGACTGGCCAAGTAGGGTTAGGATCTCCCACCCAACCCGGCGTCCTTTGCAAGTTGGCTCTGAAGGAGATGCAAGAGCCCCCAGGAGTGGCTGATGTGGGCTTGGCTTGCTCACGACCTTGTCTCATGGCTCTCTCCTTGGCTCGAGGCTCCTCATCCCAGGTGCCCCCAGCCAACCAAGCTTTCCCTTGCACCTGACCCTGGTGGTCCGTCCGACACTTCCTTCCAAACCTTCCCCAGAAACTCCGCAAAGCTTCTAAGGTGCCCCACCCATCTATTTCTCCCGGGCCCCCCGCATCCTCCCCCCACACTTGCGTCCCAGGAGTTCCTCTGATTTTGGCCACCGGACTCCACCACGTCACGATTATTTAATCTCAACAGCAAAGTCACAAAAACTCTACCAGCAGGAAGAACAGCTCTGCAGGGGACACGCTGATAGAATGACGAGAATCTACGTCAGCGTCTGCCCAGTGGAGGGGGACAGTTGTCAGTCTCTACGTGGTTGATTGATTCCAAGTTTTCCCCATAAGGCTGGCTCGCCATCTGTTCGTTAATTTTGTCAGCTATTAGCAGTTGTAGGACTAGGCACCAAAGGCTTAAGGATTTTATTTTAGCACAGGACCCCTTGGCAGTGCTCACAGAACTCTGGTGTCTAGAGGGAGTTTGCTGGGAAAATCCTCTAAAGTGCTGACCAGCCTCTCCCCTGAGTTTTCACACGCACGTGCCCGCCGCGTGAGCCCGCCGCGTGAGCCCGTCTTTCTCTCCCTCAGACCCGAGCCCCTTCCTTCAGACCTCTCTGGACGACATCCCCCGACTCTGGCGGCCCTGTTTCAGGGAGCGTGCATTTCCCAGCCCCCGGTGACTCACGTGTCCTCCGCCTCCCTCCCCCCCACCCACGGCTCTCCCCATCCCTTGCAGACCGCAGCTGTAAGATGTGGAACTTGGTCACGGGGCAGGAGATCGCAGCCCTCAAGGGCCACCCCAACAACGTGGTCTCCATCAAGTTCTGCAGCCACTCGGGCCTGGTGTTCTCCGTGTCCACCTCCTACATCAAGGTGTGGGACATCCGGGACTCGGCCAAGTGCATACGCACGCTCACGTAAGTCCTCTGGTGCTGGCTCACAGGGTGGGTGGGGCGCCACGGACCAGCCCCAGTGGCCCAGGGAGTAGAGAGCAGCCTGGCCACACGGGCACAGAGGCCGTTACAGGCCGGTGGATTTGGCTTGACTCTCTGGGACCAAGTGGGATCTCTGGGTCGGAGGACAGTGTCCAGGACAGCAGCTTGGTTGAGCCTCAGCCTGCCTGCCCCCGCCCCTTCATCCCGGTCCCCCAGCCCTGCCCCTGAGGCATGCACGGTATCGCCCTGTGGGTCTGAAAGACGAGCTGGGGAGACAGTGAGACCGGGCGGCAGCAGCCTCCACTGCCATGCTGGCCACGTGCCTGCAGAAACGAGGCCCCGATACGGTCCTGACCCCTGACGCTGACCATCTCAGACAGACAGACAGACACATGGGGGACAGAGCTGAGCCGAGGGCCCCTGCAAAGGGAAATTGTTTCTGAGCAAAAGTTCCATTTCATCCTTATGTTTGCGTTGTCAGCTACAATCTAGTTATTTTGATCCTTAAAAAACAGTCAGCAGAAGATTTTTAGGGCAGTGAAACTGACGACTCTGTAGGACACTAACCTCATTACGCGTTTGTCCAAACCCGTAGGACGAACGGCCCCCAGAGGGAGCCCTGGTGTGGGCTGTGGTGTCTGGGTGGTAACGCCATGTCCGTGGAGGTCCATCAGTTGCGACAAATGTACCGTCGGGTGGGGAGGTGGATGGTGGGGGAGGCTGAGGGGCGGCTGGGGCTGCAGTCACACGTGACTTACCTATGGGGACATGTTCTGGGAAATGCATCATTAGGCAATGTTGTGGACGCACAAACATCACAGACACAAACCTAGATGGTACAGCCTGCCACACACCCAGGCTCCGTGGGACCATCTTATGGGACCACCGTCACGCGTGCGGCCCGTTGTTGACGGGAACATCGCCATGCAGCATGTGACCGGATGTGGGAACCCTGTGTACCTTCCCCTCTGTTATGCCAGGAGCTAAAACTGCTGTAAAAAAATCATCCTTAAAAAAACAAAAGAAACAAACACAGAATAAACAGAATGGGTATTATCATCTGTTTGTACAGAGGAGCGAACGGAGACTCAGAGAGGTAAAGTGATTTCCAGAAGCCCCGGGTTCAGACCCAGTCTCGTGGCCAGGCCTTCCAGACTTTCTCAGCTACTGCTCAGGCGGCCGCAGGGCAAACACAGGGGCTGCCTTCTGCCTGGGGTCTGGGGATAGCCCTCCCCTTGGTCCCGCCTCCGACGGTCTGGAAACTTCCAGGAGAGGCAGCTGATCCTGTCCGTCAGTCTGGGAAGGCTTCCTGGAAGAAGAGGGTTCTCAGCGTGGCCTGAGTGCTGTTTGGCTGGTTTCCCGGCCTGGGCGGACGGACCGCTTTGATCTCTGACCTAGCCTCTCTTCCTCGCGGCAGGTCCTCGGGCCAGGTGACCTCTGGTGACGCCTGTGCCGCCACGTCCACCCGCGCCATCGCCAGTGCACAGGGAGAGCACCAGATCAACCAGATTGCCCTCAGCCCTTCGGGCACCATGCTGTACGCGGCCTCCGGCAACGCCGTCCGCATCTGGGAGCTCAGCAGGTCGGGGGGCTGCCTGGGTCAGGGCCGGGGGTCTCGGCATGGCTGAAGGAGGGCATGCGAGTCTCAGCTTGGGGTGACCCTCCCGGGGCTGGAGGGACCCCGGCTGCTTCTCTGCTCCCACATCCTCCGAAAGCCCTGGGATGCGGGCAGCTCACCGTCTAGGTTCTTGTTCTTGCTCAAGGGGAGGGCAGTACCCCACCAGGCATGTTCGTTCCAGGGCAGATCCCCTGCCCCAACCCTCTGACCCACCTGCCCCTGGCTGCACCTCTCCCGGCCACAGGTTCCAGCCCGTCGGCAAGCTGACTGGCCACATCGGCCCCGTGATGTGCCTGACCGTCACCCAGACCGCCAGCCAGCACGATCTGGTGGTGACCGGCTCCAAGGACCACTACGTTAAGGTACCGGGGGAGCCGCGGCCCGAGGCCCCCGGGGGGCACCATTCCTGGGGCTTCTCCCGCCCTCCCACCTCCTGCTCTGTCACCTTGGGGACACGCATGGAAATAATGAGACTTCTGGGCATTTCTGCTGAAGAAATCCCTCCACAGAGGCAAGAGGGTGTGTGCAGACAGTAAAGATGGCAGAGCGAGCTTGTAAGTGATGAAAATTAGAAAGAACCTAAATGTCTAGAGTAGAATAACGGTCAATAAATTAGGGAAGCCGCCGAACGGGATGCAGTGCGACTGTTAGTAGGCAAATTAGGAAAACAAAACACAAAGGGACAAACAACACTGATCCTGGTTCCTCCTGAGGGACAACAACAGCTGCACGTCCGCGGCCGGAAACGGGAACGCAGGGTGTAAAAGGGGAATAGAGGACATCGGGTTCTGATGAATGTTTTTATTTAACGTACAAAAATGTTATATTTATTTACTGGAAAGCGTAAAAGAGTTTTGAAGGGAGGGTTACACCACAAACCCACCTTTCTCTGTAACCACCCCATGCTGAGCTGTGGGGTCCCCTGGCATTAACTGAAGTCGGGCCCCCCACACCCGCAGCCCTGTCCCCACAGGGAGGTCGAGACGTGAGCCTTCAGCGTCCTCAGGCCCTGGGAGCAGCGCGCCCCTCCACCCAGGCGGTGCTGTATCCAGGGCAGTGGTCGGCCCCGGGCCCCCCCCCCCCCAACCAGCCCTGTCTCCCCGGACCCTCCCTCCCGCAGATGTTCGAGCTGGGGGAGTGCGTGGCGGGCACCATCGGCCCCACCCACAACTTCGAGCCCCCGCACTATGACGGCATCGAATGCCTCGCCATCCAGGGAGACATCCTGTTCAGCGGCTCCCGGGATAACGGCATCAAGAAGTGGGACCTGGAACAGCAGGAGCTCATCCAGGTGTGCTGGGAGGGAGGGGAGGGTGGGTAGGGCGGCGTGGCTCCCCCAGCCCAAGTGGGGCCCGGGGGGACCGAAACCCACCTGTTCCGCACCCTGTTCCCCATCTCTGTCCACCCCCCGTCCCCTGCAGCCTCTCCCCATTCCACCTCACCCCCCAATGCACCTGCTCTCAGGAGAGCATCTGCTCGCAGCCCCTGGGTTTGATGCAAAGCTCTCCCCATGTTCCCTTTCCCGGAGCATTTGTGTTTTCCTCTGACCCCTCCGAGTGCTGCAGAGTTCCCCACCAGTGCCAGTTTGAGCCTAGAACCCCTCTCTGGGCCCGTGCCCTCCCCAGCTGGCTCCTGGCAGCCGTGATGCTGCCTGTCTGCCCGGGGACTCCAGAGGCAGAGGGGAGCCCGCTCCGTGTGTGCAGGGTCCTCTCCCTGCTGCTCCCTCCTCGGTCCTCACTGGCCCCGCTCCTCCCGCAGCAAATCCCCAACGCACACAAGGACTGGGTGTGCGCCCTGGCCTTCGTGCCGGGCCGCCCCATGCTGCTGAGCGCCTGCCGGGCAGGCGTCATCAAGGTCTGGAACGTGGACAATTTCACGCCCATCGGGGAGATCAAGGGCCATGACAGCCCCATCAACGCCATCTGCACCAACGCCAAGCACATCTTCACCGCCTCCAGGTGGGTGCCGCACGGAGGTCTGCTTCTGGGGCCCACCCTTCCCCGTGGCGTGGGCGGGGCAGGCCTCTGGGCCCCTGCATAGCGCCCGCCAGCCTGTGTAACCCTCACGGAGTGCCCGCCACGGGCAGGGGAGCAGGAAGGTGCTGGGCCCCAGGCCAGGACTCGCCCCGCCTCCTGCCCCTCACACAGCTGTCCCTTATCCAGGTTACTCAGACCACAGAGCAGCCCTGTCCCCCCCAGACCCCCTCCCTCCACCCCAGCTCTGGCCCCATCCAGGGGCTGTGCAGGCCGTCTGTCCCCCGGGAGCTACTCAGAGGGGTCTCTTCTTTTTCCTTCCTGTTCCGACCGTCTCCCTTCTCTCCCCTCTGCCCTTCCCGTCTCCTCCTGCCTCTCCTCTCTGCCCCTCCGCCTCTCTCCCCCCACAGTGACTGCCGGGTAAAGTTGTGGAATTACGTCCCTGGACTCACCCCCTGCCTTCCTCGCCGAGTCCTGGCCATAAAGGGCCGCGCCACCACCTTGCCCTGACCCTCCCCGCCCCACCCCTCTCTCATTCTCCTCTCTCTCCTTCTTCCTCTCTCTCCACTTCGATCTGAGCTGCTTCTTAACGGTAGGAGACGATTTTACTCCTCTCTGCTCTCCCTTCCTATCCTCCTGGCCCGGTGAGACTGCCCTGCCCGCCTCACCCTCCCCTCCCGAGCATGAGCAGTGGGACAGGCCCCCAGGAGAGGGGAGCCAGGGAGCAGAAAGCAGAGGGGACGAAACAAAGCATCAACAACCAAGAAAAGCCACCACGAGAATCCTGGCAGTCCTTTGGGACTGTGGGGCTCCCCCTCTGCCTGGCACGCCTCCCGCCTGTCTCCCCCTTCGTCCTGAACAAGCCTCGCCCCTCGGCCCCAGCTGCCTTTGGGCCATCATTTGGCCCATCCTTTCCTCTTGGGGGGTAGCCGGCTGACCTCAGGAGCTGACCAGCCCCTCTCTGTCCTCCACCCCAGCGACCTGACAGTGAAGTTCTGGAGTATACGGCGCTTACCCGGTGGCCCACCCTAGGCGTGAGGTCAGAGGATGGCCCCCGGACCCTCGGCCCCCCGCAGCCTGGACAGCACGGAAGGGGAGCCGTGGCCCGAGGAGGCCAGCTGCCCTGGGGACAGAGGGTGTGGGCGACGGGTGTGGCCCCTCTTCTGCTCTCCTGCCTCCCCCTTAACCTTCCCACGGGATACTCTCCTCAGTCCCTCCCCGGCCACGTGGAGAGAGAATTTGGGGAGGAAATTAAGCTGTGAAGCCAAAGGGCATTTCCCCCTCTTTTCTCTCCCTGCGGCCCCTTGGCCTCCCTCCCTGATGGCCACCTTTCTCCTGCTGAGCCGGCCCTGCCCTTCCTTGAGCCTTTGGCCTGGGGGCGGGGCCCTGTGGGGCCGGTGACGCAGCCCCAGACCTGCCTCTGAGCCCAAAAAGATAGTCCTCAGGTAACCACGGAGACCAGGTGGAGGCAGCTGGGCCCCCGCCGTGACCCTCGGCCCCTTGGCCCCCGACAGCCATTCCCAGGTGACCCCAGCAATCCCTGGGGGTCCCTTTCCAATGGGGCCACGGCAGAGCCGCTGGGAAGACTCCTTCGGAGAGGTGGTCAGAAATACTTCAGTTATTTAATTTATTTTTTATTTTTATTTTTTGCTGTTGCCTCCTGGAAACTGACTTGAAGTTTCTTCCCACGTGTTCTTTCCCTCAGCTCTTGCGGGGAGGGGAGCCCCAAAGGGGACCCGCCTTGCCAGCCCTCCAGGGCCGTTCCTGGTCTGCTCTGCGGGGTGGGGACGTGCCCCTTCCCCTTTGCAGCCAGGCCTCCCTACATCGTCCGGGGGACCGTTCTAGCGCACCCCTGACCTCCGGGCCACCGATGCTCAGTGCCTTCCTCCCCGGGGCCTGGCCCCCGTGCTGGGCAGCCTTACATCAGCCATGCCCACGGCGCCACTTGTGTCTTCACTCATGGGGTCTCGTGCCCGCTGCCCCCACGGCCCAGCCCAGGGGCCCCAGAGTCCCGGTGGGCTGGGTAGGAAGCAGCTCGGAGGACTGTGTCCACGAGGATGCAGCTTGGATGGGGGGCTGGCCCCCTCCCCAGCCAGCCTGCTGGATTTTCACCCCGAGTAGCTGGGTGTCCCTCTAATTTCTTTGTCTCGGGCTATTCTGGAGACACGTTCTCAAGCCTTAGAGGTGGCACGGGCCGGGGCCCCACCTGTTAGGAGGTCGGCCGTGAGGATGGAATTCACTGAGTGTCTCTTTTCCCGCAACCCCGCGGGCTATGGACTCAGCTCCAGGGATGTCCTTGTGCCGGCTCCCCCAGTTGGGACAACTCTGAATTACAGGCTGGGGCCTTAGCGGGGTCGCACCCCGTCCCTCCACCCCAACCCCAGCCGTCCACACTGATTTTCGGTTGCTTAACTGGTCTTGGGCTCCCTGGCCTCCGGCTGGCCCCGGGCGCCTCTCCCCATGTGTGCCTGGCACACACAGAGGGGCCGTCTTAGCTGTGAAAGGGGGGAGACGCCTGCAGAGGCCCAGGCTGGCCAGTCCCCCTGCCGGGAGCCGCCCCGATGCTATGTCCTGCTGTGGGAGCCCCGCTGGACCCTCGCCCTGGTGAGGGCTGGGCGAGCTGACGGGCAGGGAGGATGTGCCCTCGCAGGCTGGTCTCCTGGGGCCCGGCCAGTCTGTCTGCGAGATGGCAAGTCCCCTTTCTCCGGCCGTCCCAGGGTGCCGGCCGCTCCTTCCACCCCTCAGAAGAGAGCACAGGTCTCTCCCCTCCCCACCCCTCTCCCACCCCGAGAGAAAGCTTCAAGCTTGCAACCTGTAGGAAGAATCCGTCTGCATGACCGTTTACAAGTGTAGAAACACACAGACTGTGCTCCCCCGGCCCGCCGGCTGTCCCGGGGCTGCCAGGCCTGTTCCCGCACAAGCTGTGCCCCGCGGCCTGCGAGAGGGGCTCGGCATCAGCGCCCGTCCCCTGCTGCTTCGGACGGGCCAGCTACCTCCCAGTGGGGCCAGCTCTGCTGTCCTGGCCAGTGTCGTTGGCTCTAAACTTGAAGTGCCCCGGAAGCCCTGAGCCATTCCCAGCTGTGCTCCGGGGGCGTTGAAGACTGCCCACTCCTTCAGGGATGTCCCAGGCACATAGTTAGGGGGCAGGCCCCTGTCTCCTCGTTGCACAAGCGTCGTAAGTGTTTCAAGCACAAAATGGTTGTGATGTGAGCACAGTGGCAGGGCTTGTGGCAGGTGGCTTCTCCCAGCTCGGCTCTGTCCAGAGTTCGACGAGGATGTGCACATCTCGGGGGGGCCTGCTCTCGCTCGGACCAGGGCTTGGCCTGCGACTCAGCCCAGTTCTGGGACTCGTCATCCTATTTATTTTTCCGTGCCCATCCGAAGACGTGGGGCTGAGCCGCACTGCAGCCAGGCCCTATCGGGATGCCGTGGGCCCTGGGAACAGCGCCCTCTCTTGACCTCACACCCCACATCTTCAGATGCCTGAGCCCAGGCTGGAGCCTAACCAGCGAGACCCACCTGCCCTGTCTGCTGGGCCGAGCCCCGTGCATGCTTGGGAAGCTGACTGGCGAGCTCCCTGGATGGAGCCTGTCTTCCATCCCCACGGCCCAGGGGCCTCCTCGGCACAGCCCTGTGCCAGGCTCTGTTCCCAGTATTACCTCAGTTCAGTGTTTGCTTCCGTCTGAGAGACTGACTCCTCCACGGCAGCCACAATTCCCCAAGGGACCACCTGGCGTGGCCTCTGGAGGCTGCCAGGAGGGAGGCGAGGCTACGAGGCAGAGGCGGGCACATCTAAGCCTTTGAGGTGGGCAGGGTGCCGCCTCCAGCCCCTCGGGGAGGGACGTCTGTGGGTCTGGGAGTGCTCTCCCTGCCCGCCCACCCCCGCCACAGCCTCCACGTAGGGACCTTTCACCCTGCTGTCCGCCTGGGGCGGTGTGGCTTGGGCAGAGGGCGGTTTAAAGCACAAAACTACCGCAAGGAGTTGCTGGAACTTTCTCACGCCACCCAGTGTGGTGGAGACACAGGCAGGCGGCCGCTGTGAAATCAGAGATGCACCGCTCTCCTCCGTCACAGAGCATCTCGGCTCACGGGGTGTCCTCTGATGCAGTCCGGGCAGGGTGCAGGCACTCCCCGCGGCTTGTTCCGCCACCGCCTATGCCCGCCATGTTCGCTGTCGTGTTTGTGTGGGCGGGCCTGCCCTGCGAGAGCGGAGAGTTCTTCCCACCCAGCGGCCCACACCTGTGGCTTCTGTCCCTTTGCCATCCCAAACAGGAAAGCGCTCGCCGCTCTCTTGGCTTGGCACAGCCTCCTGGTCCAGGCTCAGGAGCCAGGGCTTGGCCGATGCCCCCCACAGGCCTCCCTGGGCCTGGCCCTCCTCTCCTGGCTCCCAGATCCTTCACTGCCCTCCTATGTGCAAGGACAGACTCTACAGGGAAAATTGTTTCTTCCATGGCATCTTTGTTCTATCCCCCAGCCCCTGCCCATCTCCAGCACTCAAATGAGCCCCTGGCCCCCCACCACACCCCAGTCCAATCCTTTGAACCCATGTCCCGAGGGCCTTGCAGGGAAGCGGAACTGCTCCATGAAGAGCCGAGGGTCAGAGAGGACCCCTGAAGTGAATCAGGGCCCTGCCCTGCCCTGCCCACCAGCTCTCTTCTGGCGATCGCCTCCTGCCCAAGCTGCAGGGTCCTCTGGCCCGTGCTCTCCTCTGTGTGGCTAGCACAAGTGTATATATGTTTTGTACCTCTGCCGATGACTGTACATAGTGTATGAAAGTTATTTAAGCCCCATGCTGTACATTTCTGTTCCTAGACTGGATGTGTGTGTGTGTTCTAAGAAGTTGTCATAAATAAAACCTGAATGACCATTGTCTCAGGCTGACTTGTGGCTGGTGGCCCTTCCTGGGTGGGAGGTTGGTGGTGATGGGTGGGTAGGAGGTCAGCAGTGGTGGATGGGGTGAGAGTTTGGTGGGGGGGGGTGAGTGGGTGGGACATCGGTGGGGGGAAAGTTTGGGAGTTGGGAGTTGGAGGTCGATGGTAGTGGATGGGGTAGGAGGTCAGTGGTGGTGGATGAAGTGGGATGTCGGTGGTAGTGGATGGAGTGGGAGGTCCGTGGTGGGCGTGTGGGGTGAGAGGTTGGTGGTGGTGGATAGAGTGGGAGGTTGATGGTGGACGTGTTGGGTAGGAGGTCGGTGGTGGTGGGTGGGGTGGCCTCCGGGGCCCGGCTCAGCCTGATGAGTGTTTCCTGGGCTGGGAGTGTGGGGCTCATCAGCTAGGAAGCGGTGTTGAGAGCTTTGTCTCTCTCCAGGCCATCTCCTGCCTCCGGGATGGGCATGCTCACTGGAGGACGGGGCACTGGCGTTTATTGGGCACCTGCTTTCTCCAGGCCAGCTGTGGCGTTTTTCGCCGGATCTTCACTGTCCTGTGTGAGGGGTGGTGATCTCATCTTCTGAAATGACAGAGGTCTCTGAGAGGAAGTGGCAGAACAGACCTGTGCCTTACAGGCCACTTACAAAGAGGAGACAGAAATATAAAACGTTCACAGAAGAAAACAGCTCCACCATGTCTTGATTTTTGTTTCTAGATCCACTGCCCTAAAAATCCCGTGCGCTCTCCCTTGTCCTCCCAATATTTGTAGCATAAACACAGCTTCACGTCTATGAGACGCCGAACAGACCTACAGCATGCTGTCACCTGGAAGACACAATCATCGCTCTAACGCTGAGCCGCTCTTGTGCTTGTCACTCGATGGACTTTGTCTCCTGTCACCGTGTTCAGGAATTGGTGACTCTCGTGTCTTTTAATCGTGCTTCAGAATTCACTGCATTCCTGGCGCCCTCGCAGGACCAGGGCCCTCCACCGGCTCTGTGTGTCATGATCTGGTTTGTTGGGTTTAGCTCTCAAGAACACATTTTTTATGATAGCAGTTTTATTGAGGTATAATTCCCATACCATGAAATTCACCGTCTTTTCTTTAGGCTCATGATTTTATTTCGTTTATTTCTGTATTTGCTTTCCGGCCTCGTGGCAGCAGATGCTGAAGCGGCATCGAGTGAGCAACTGCGCGAGTGGGTGAAGGGAAGAAAGAACGGGCCGTTGGGGGGTTGGGTTGTGAAGCGTCACTAACCATCCAAACCTGGCTTTTCTTCTGCAACAGTCCTAGTTCCCTTTGATAATAACCACAACCCACTCCCCCAACCCTGGAGATTCTGGCCCCTCATCCCCTCGGGGACAGAGGCCTCAGGGGACAATCTGTGTCATCATCACCAGCCAAGCCCGTCTTGAAAACTTTACTTTCTGATTTTTGTGTTATGAAAACAGGGAGGTCTCTCTTTGCTTTGCTTTCCAAGTACGAAACCAAGTTGCCTCATCCAACACCGCAGTCCCGGCCGCTTATCTAGACCCGTGGCTGTGGACACACGATCCAGCCGGTCAGCTCCCTGAGTCTGCGGTTGGAGGAGAAAGGCTTCCCGAGGGAGGTTCCGCCCAAGAGGCTGGTGGTCCTCAAGCACAAGGGCCTTTTGAAGGGCCAGGGGACCCTGAGCCCCTGAGGGAGTTGCAGCCCTGGGCAGGCACAGGAACTCCCCCAGCCCTAAGAAGCAGGGGTGGCTTCTGAAGATGGTTGCTGTTG